AGGACATACAAATGGCTAAGAGACATATGAAGAAATGTTCATCATCACTAATCATCATAAAGATGCAAATCAAAACAACAATGAGGTATCACTCACACCTGTCAGAATGGCCGCCATCAACAAATCACCAAACAACAAGTGTTGGCGAGGGTGTGGAGAAAAGGGGACTCTAGTACACTGTTGGTGGGAATGCAGACTGCTGCAGCCACTATGGAAAACAATATGGTGTTACCTCAAAAAATTAAAAATTGAACTTCCATTTGACCCAGTGATCCCACTTCTAGGAATATACCCTACGAAGCATAAAACACCAATCAGAAAGAATATATGTACCCCCTTCTTTGTAGCAGCACTATTTACAATCGCTAAGATTTGAAAACAGCCCAAGTGCCCATCAGTAGACAAATGGATCAAAAAGCTGTGGTACGTATACACAATGGAGTACTACGCAGCGGTAAGAAAGAAAGATCTCTTATCCTTTGAGACTACATGGAGGGACCTGGAAAGTATCATCCTAAGTGAAACAAGCCAAACAGAGAAAGACAAATTTTATATGATCTCACTGATTTGTGGAATATAATGAACATAACAGTTTGAGGAATGGGGTAGCCCCAGAGACGTGGAAGCGGGGTATAGACTGACAATCCCCTAAGGAGTGGGGAGGTGGGAGTGGGATGAACCACAGAACTTATACGCATGTATGCATGAATAGTGGACATGGACAACAATCTGGGGAAGGGGTAGGAAGGGAAGGGGGAGGGGGGAATCAGTGGGGGATAAAAGGAGAATCATCTGTAACAAAAATTAATCAATAAAAATAAATAAATAAAAATAAAAGGACTGCTGTAATTAGCAGGAGAAATGGGAAGAAAAATTGAACCACACTAAACAAAAATGGCAATAAATAAGTACATATCAATAATCACCTTAAATGTAAATGGATTGAATGCTCCAATAAAAAGACACAGAGTAGCTGACTGGATAAGAAAGCATGACTCATCTATATGTTGTTTACAAGAGACATACCTCACAAGAAAAGACTCACATAGGTTGAAAGTGAAGGGATGGAAAAAAATCTTCCAAGCAAACAAAAAAGAAAAAAAGAAGCTGGGGTAGCAATACTCATATCTAATAAAATAGACTTAAAAATGAAGGCCATAACTAGAGACAAATAAGGCCACTACATAATATTGAAAGGTTCTATGCAACAGGAAGATATAATCTTCATAAACATATATGCACCCAATATAGGAGCACCAAAATATATTAAAAATCTTCTGGAGGACTTCAAAGGAGAAATTGATAGCAACACAATCATAGCAGGGGACTTCAACACCCCGCTGATATCACTGGATAGATCCTCCAGACAAAAAATTAGCAAGGAAACAGAGACTCTAAATGAAGCACTAAACCAAATGGATTTAATAGATATCTACAGAGAATTACACCCCAAAACTACAAAATTAACATTCTTTTCAAGTGCACATGGGACATTCTCAAAGATAGACCACATGTTAGGGCACAAACTAAGTCTCTACAAGTTCAAGAAAACTGAAATCATACCAAGCATCTTCTCAGATCACAATGGCATGAAACTAAAAATCAATTGCAAGAAGAACATACAAAGACATTTGAGCACATGGAAGCTAAATAGCATGTTTTTAAACAATGAATGCGTTACCGAGCAGATCAAGGAAGAAACTAAAAACTTCCTGGAAACCAATGAAAATGAAGGCAAAACAACAACACAAAATCTATGGGATGGAGTGAAAGCAGTTCTGAAAGGGAAGTTCATAGCACTACAGGCCTACCTCAAAAATCAAGAAAAATCTCTACTAAACTATCTAACCTCACAACTTAAAGAACTAGAGAGCAAACAAAAAGAAAACCCCAGAGCAAGTAGAAGGAAGGAAATAGTAAAGATCAGAGCAGAAATAAATGACATAGAGTCCAAAAAACAAAAACAAAACAATTCAAATGATAGATGAAACAAAGAGCTGGTTTTCGAAAAGATGAAAAAGATTGATGGACTCTTAGCTATACTCACCAAGAAACAAAGAGAGAGAACCCAAATACACAAAATCAGAAATGAAAGAGGAGAAGTAACAACTGCAACCACATAAATACAGAAGATCGTTAACAACTACTATGAAAAATTATATGGCAACAAATTTGACAATCTAAGAAAAATGGAGAAATTTCTAGAAACACACAGTCTTCCAAAAACGGACCAGGAAGAGATAGAAAACTTGAACAGACCAATAACAACAGAAGAAATTGAAGATGTAATCAAGACTCTCCAGCAAACAAAAGCCCAGGCCCAGATGGCTTCACAGGGGAGTTTTACCGAACTTTCAAAGAAGAACTAACACACATTCTCCTCAAACAATTTCAAAAAATTCAAGAAGAAGGAAGACTTCCAAACTCATTTTATGAAGTCGGCATAATTCTAATCCCAAACCCAGAAAAAGACACTACAAAAAAAGAAAACTACAGGCCCATATTTCTGATGAACATAGACACCAAAATTCTGAACAAAATACTAGCAAATTGGATCCAGCAATACACCAAAAAAATTATCCACCATAACCAAGTGGGATTCATCCCAGGGATGCAAGGCTGGTACAATATTTACAAATCAATGAATGTGATACACCACATAAACAAAATGTAGAATGAAAACCACATGATCATATCAATAGATCCTGAAAAAGCCTTCGACAAAATCCAGCCTCCATTTCTGATAAAAACGCTCAGCAATGTGGGAATAGAGGGATCATATCTAGACATAATAAAGGCCATATATGAAAGACCTACAGTCTACATCATACTCAATGGGCAAAAACTAAAACATTTTCCTTAAGAACAGGAACAAGGCAAGGATGCCCACCTTCACCACTCTTATTGAACATGGTACTGGAAGTCTTAGCCCCAGCAATCAGACAGGAAGAAAAAATAAAAGGGATCCAAATTGGAAAGGAGGAAGTGAAACTGTCATTATTCGCAGATGGCATGATACTATACATAGAAAACCCTAAAGAATCCATCAAAAATCTACTAGACTTAATAAATGAATTTGGCAAAGTATCAGGATACAAAATTAATGTCAAGAAATCAATGGCATTCTTATACACCAATGATGAACTCACAGAAAGAGAAACTATAAAACAATCCCATTTACCATTGTGGCAAAAAAAATTAAGATACCTAGGAATAAACTTAACCAAAGAAATAAAGCACCTATTCGCAGAAAACTACAGGTCATTGTAAAAAGAAATAGAGGAAGATATAAAAAAGTGGAAGCACATATCCTGTTCATGGATTGGAAGAATTAACATTATTAAAATGCCGTACTACCCAAAGGAATCTATAGATTCAATGCAATCCCCATCAAAATACCAACGGAATACTTCACAGAATTACAGCAAGTATTTCAAAAGTTCATATGGAACCAAAAAAGACCTCGAATAGCCACAGCAATCTTGAAAAAGAAGTATGAAGTTGGAGAGAACATATTACCAAATTTCAGGTTATACTATAAAGCCAATGTAATCAAAACAGCCTGGTATTGGCACAAGAATATAGACTAGTGGAACAGAACAGAAAACCCAGAAATGGTCCCAAGGCAATATGCTCAATTAATATTTGACAAAGGTAGCAAGAGCATACAGTGGAGTAAGGACAGCCTCTTTAATAAATGGTGCTGGGAAAATTGGACAGCTACATGCAGAAAAATGAAACTAGACCATCAACTTACACCCTACACAAGAATAAACTCAAAATGGATAAAAGACTTAAATGTGACTCATGAATCCATAAAAATCCTAGAAGAAACTGCAGGCAACAAAATTTAAGACATCATACGCAGCAGAATTTTCACTGATACATCACCTAAGGCAATAGAAACAAAGGAGAAAATGAACACATGGGACTACATCAAATTCAAAAGCTTCTGCACAGCGAAAGATACAATCATCAAAATGGAAAGGCTACCCACTGTATGGGAGAGCATAATTGCCAATGATATATCAGATAAGGGTTAATTTCCAATATATATAGAGTTCTCATACAACTCCACAAAAGGAAGACAAAGAACCCAATTAAAAAATGGGCAGAGGAACTAAATAGACACCTCTCCAAACAGGACATGCAAATGGTAAGAGACATATGGAGAAATGCTCAACATCACTAAGCATTACAGAGATGCAAATTAAAACAGCAATGAGGTATCACCTCACACCTGTCAGAATGGCCGCCATCAACAAATCATCAAACTAAATATGTTGGCGACGGTGTGGAGAAAAGGGGACTCTAGTACACTGCTGGTGAGAATGCAGACTCATGCAGCCACTATAAAAAAGATTATGGTGTTACCTCAAAAAATTAAAAATTGAACTTCCATTTGACCCACTGATCCCACATCTAGAAATATACCCTAAGAAGCCTGAAACACCAATCACAAAAAATATATGTACCACCATGTTTTAGCACCACTATTTACAATAGCTAAGATCTGGAAACAGCCCAAGTGTCCATCAGTAGATGAATGGATAAAAACTCTGTGGTACATATACACAATGGAGTACTATGCAGCTGTAAGAAAGAAAGATCTCTTATTCTTTGAGACTACAGGGAGGGACCTGGAAAGTGTCATCCTAAGAAAAACAAGCCAAGCAGAGAAAGACAAGTATCATATGATCTCACTTATTTGTGGAATATAATGAACATAACAGTCTGAGGAATGGAGTAGTCCCAGAGACGTGGAAGTGGAATACAGACTGACAATCCCCAGAAGAGGTATTGGTGGGGGAGAGATAAACCACAGAACTTATATGCATGTATGCATGAACAATGGACATGGAGAACAAAGCTGAGGACCGGGCAGTGAGGGAGGGGGATGGGGCAGTCAGTGGGGAAAAAATGAGAAACATGTGTAACAAAAATTAATTAATATTAAGAAAAAAAGAAACTTGTAATAGACTGGAACAGTGTCATACTTCCTCTGAGTCATGTAGTCATCTGTCTCCCAATGCCAATGCCTTACCCACCTCAGGAACCCCTGGATCATGCTGCAGCTGGACTGTGGCACAAATTAAAAAGGAGGAAGTGAAACTCTCATTATTTTCAGATAACATAATATTGTACATAGAAAATTCTAAAGACTCCATCAAAAATCTACTAAATAAATAAATTTTGCAAAGCAGCATAATATAAAATTAATGTCAAGAAATTGAAAGATGAACTCATAGAAAGAGAAACTAAAAAAACAATTCCATTTACCATCGGGGCAGAAAAATCAAGATGCCTAGGAATAAATTTAACCAAAGAGGTAAAGGACCTCTTCACAAAAAACAAGAGGTCATTGAAAAAAGAAATAAAGGAAGATATAAAAAACTGGAAGCATATACCTTGTTCATGGATTGGAAGAATTATTATCATTAAAATGTCCATATTACCCAAAGCAATCTATAGATTCAATGCAATCCCCATCAAAATACCAACAACATATTTCACAGAACTAGACCAAGTACTTTAAAAGTTTATATGGAAAAAAAAAAAAAAAGACTCCAAATAGCCACAGCAATCTTGAAAAAGACTAAAGTAGTAGGGATCAAAATACCAGATATCAGTTTATATTATACAAAGCACTGTAATCAAAACAGCCTAGTACTGGCACAAGAACAAGCATATAGATCAATGGAACAGAACAGAAAACCCAGAAATTGAACGAAGACAATATGTTCAATTAATATTTGACAAAGGTGGCAAAAGCATACAATGGAGTCAAGACAATCTCTTCAATAAATGGTGTTGGGAAAATTGGACAGCTAGATGCAGAAAAATGAAGCTAGACCGCCAACTTACACCATACACAAGAATAAACTCAAAATGGATAGAAGACTTAAATGTGACTCGTGAATCCATAAAAGTCCTAGAAGAAAATGAAGGCAATAAAATTCCAGACATCACACATAGCAGAGTGTTCACTGATACAAAGCCTAAGGCAAAAGAAAAAAGAAATAAATGAACACATGGGACTAGATCAAACTAAAAAGCTTCTGCACAGCAAAATAAACAACCATCAAAATGTAAAGAAAACCCACTATATGAGAGAGCATAATTGCCAATGACACATAAGATAATGATTAAATTTCCAAAATATATAGAGTGCTCACATAACTCAACCAAAAAAGACAAAGAACCCAAATAAAAAAATGGGTAGAGGGGAACAGGACAGGTAGGAGGGTGTTAAGGGGGGGAGGAAAAAAATCTGTAACAAAAATGAATTAATAAAAATTGGGGGTGGGAGGAATGGGCAGAGGACGTTAAGAGACACCTCTCCAAACAAGACATACAAATGGTCAAGAGACATATTAAAAAATACTCAACATCCCTAATCATCAGAGAGATGCAAATTAAAACAACAATGATGTATCACCTCACACCTGTCAAAATGGCTGCCATCAACAAATTATCAAACAACTAGTGCTGGTGAGCGTGTGCAGAAAAAGGGACTTTAATGCAGCTGGTGGGAATGCAGACTGGTGCAGCCACTATGAAAAACACTATGGAGTTACCTAAAAAAGTTAAAAATTAAACTGCCGTTAGACCCAGTGATCCCACTTCCAGGAATATATTCTAAGAAGCCTGAAACACCAATCAGAAAAAAAATATATGTACCCCTATGTTCATAGCAGCACAATTTACAATCACTAAGATCTAGAAACAATCCAAGTGTCCAGCAGTAGATGAATGGATACAAAACCTGTTGTAAATATACACAATGGAGTACTATGCAGCTGTAAGAAAGAAAAATCTCTTATCCTTTGAGTCGACATGGTGAAAACTGGAGTGTGTTATTCTAAGTAAAACCAGGCAATCAGAGAAAGACAAATATCACATGATCTCACTTATTTATGAAATATAATAAACAAAACAAAATGATGAACAAAATAGACCCAGAGACATACATGTAGGATACAGATTGACAAACCTCAGAAGAGAGGGTAGGAGTGGGAAGGAAAGAGATAAACCACAGAACTTATATGCATGTATGAGTAACCAATGGTCATAGACAACAGTCCTGGGGGCGGGGCGGGGGAGATGTGATCAGGAGGAGGGTGTGAATGGGGGAAAAAGGAGAAACATCTACAGATACAAAAAATAAATAACAAAATAACAAAAATAAATTAAAAAAAAAAAAAGAATCTAGTTAGGATTTCCCAGGAATGGGAAATTGTCAGGCAGAAGAGGAAAGTGTCACCCTGAATGTCAGTCTCTTTAACAAATGTTGAGTGCTATCAATTTTTGAATTCTTTTTATTTTCATACCTATAAGATGGTTCAGCCACCACATATGTTCCTCCATCACAGAAAACTCCAATACAAATGCCTGACACTAGAGTTGCCAGGGTCTAGCTCTCAACAATCAATGTGCCCCCTTTCTCTTCTGGGTAACACTGGTGGAGTTCACACAATCACAGCCTGATTGTTCCTCAAAATGCTTTCCTTAAGATGCATGAAGCTTGAGAATATCTTGTCTTTTCTGGAAGATTCTTTGCTTCTCAGTTATCAGAACATTTTGCCTTTCAGTTGACTGCTCATATTCTGACACCAATTCCATGCAATTTGTTCCCTACCATTCAGTAATTAACTCAATTCTGACTCCATCTATCTGGATACAGCATGGATCCCACAGGTGCAGTTACACATGACTGCCTCCACTTCAAACACCAATCACAAGTCCAGGTTATCACCTGTGCTTCTGATTGGAGGTTCCCAAGACCCATCCTCTGGTTTGGTTAATTTGCTAGAGTGTCTCACAGAACTCAGAGAAACACTTACTTATTAGATCACTGGCTTATTATAAAGAATTTAAAGCATGAAGAGCTCTGTTAAAGATGCACAGGGCAAGGTATGTAGGAAGAGGTGAGAGGCTTCCATGATTTCTGAATCCACCACTCTCCCAGACCTCCATGTGTTCACCAACCCAAAAGCTCTCTGAACCCCATTTTTGGGGGAATTATGGAGGCTTATTACATAAGCTGAATTGATTAACTCACTGACCATTGGTGATTGATTCAACATCCAGTCCCTGTATGTCCCCTGAGGTTAGAGGTAAGACTGAAATCCCCTGGAGATGAGCCCCCATCCTTAGAGGCTTTCCAAAATCACCTCCATAGCAAAAGATACTTTTACTGCTCTCCTCACAGAAAATGCCAAGATTTTTTTTTTTTTTGAATTTTTTTTTATTTATTTATTTTTTTGTTACAGATATTTTACCTTTTTACCCCATTGGCACCCCCCACCCCACCCCCCCTCCACCCTGTCCCCGGCTTAGTTGTCCATGTCCATTGGTCATGCATACATGCATATAAGTTATGTGGTTTATCTCTTCCCACCCCCCCCACCCCCCATCCCCTCTTCTGAGGGATGTCAGTCTGTGCCCCACTTCCATGTGTCTGGGTCTACTGTATTCCTCAGACTGTTATGTTCATTATATTCCGTATATAAGTGAGATCATGTGGTATTTGTTCTTCTCTGCTTGGCTTCTTTCACTTAGGATAATACTTTCCAGGTCCCTCCATGTCGTCTCAAAGGATAAGAGATCTTTCTTTCTTACCGCTGCATAGTATTCCATTGTGTATATGTACCACAGCTTTTTGATCCATTCGTCTACTGGTGGACACTTGGGCTGTTTCCAGATCTTAGCTATTGTAAATAGTGCTGCTATGAACATGGGGGTACATATATTCTTCCTGATTGGTGTTTCAGGCTTCCTAGGGTATATTCCCAGCAGTAGGATCACTGGGTCAAATGGAAGTTCAATTTTTAATTTTTTGAGGTAGCACCATATTGTTTTCCATAGCGGCTGCACCAGTCTGCATTCCCACCAGCAGTGTATTAGAGTCCCCTTTTCTCCACACCCTCGCCAACACTTCTTGTTTGATGATTTGTTGATGGCGGCCATTCTGACAGGTGTGAGGTGATACCTCATTGTTGTTTTAATTTGCATCTCTCTGATGATTAGTGATGTTGAGCATTTCTTCATATGTCTCTTGGCCATTTGTATGTCCTGTTTGGAGAGGTGTCTATTCAGCTCCTCTGCCCATTTTTTAATTGGGTTCTTTGTCTTCCTTTTGTGGAGTTGTATGAGAACTCTGTATATATTGGAAATTAACCCCTTATCTGATACATCATTGGCAATGATGTTCTCCCATACAGTGGGTTGCCTTTCCATTTTGATGATTGTTTCTTTTGCTGTGCAGAAGCTTTTTAGTTTGATGTAGTCCCATGTGTTCATTTTCTCCTTTATTTCTGTTGCCTTAGGTGATGTATCAGTGAAAATTCTGCTCCGTATGATGTCCGAAATTTTGTTGCCTACATTTTCTTCTAGAATTTTTATGGATTCACGGGTCACATTTAAGTCTTTTATCCATTTTGAGTTTATTTTTGTGTATGGTGTAAGTTGATGGTCTAGTTTCATTTTTTTGCATGTAGCTGTCCAATTTTCCCAACACCATTTATTAAAGAGGCTGTCTTTACTCCACTGTATGCTCTTGCCACCTTTGTCAAATATTAATTGAGCGTATTGCCTTGGGTCCATTTCTGGGTTTTCAGTTCTGTTCCACTGGTCTATATGCCTGTTCTTGTGCCAGTACCAGGCTGTTTTGGTTACAGTCGCTTTGTAGTATAACCTGATATCTGGTATTGTGATCCCTCCAACTTTGTTCTTCTTTTTCAAGATTGCTGTGGCTATTCGGGGTCTTTTTTGGTTCCATATGAACTTTTGAAGTATTTGTTCTAGTTCTATGAAATATGTCGTTGGTATTTTGATGGGGATTGCATTGAATGTATAGATTGCCTTGGGTAGTATGGACATTTTAATTATGTTAATTCTTCCAATCCATGAACAGGGTATGTGCTTCCACTTCTTTATATCTTCCTCTATTTCTTTTTTCAATGACCTGTAGTTTTCTGCAAATAGGTCCTTTACTTCTTTGGTTAAGTTTATTCCTAGGTATCGTAATTTTTTTGGAGCGATGGTAAATGGGATTGTTTTTTCAGTTTCTCTTTCTGTGAGTTCATCATTGATGTACAAGAATGTCGTCGATTTCTTGACGTTAATTTTGTATCCTGCTACTTTGCCAAATTCATTTATTAAGTCTAATAGATTTTTGATGGAGTCTTTAGGGTTTTCTATGTACAATATCATGTCATCTGCAAATAATGACAGTTTCACTTCCTCCTTTCCAATTTGGATCCCTTTTATTTTTTCTTCATGTCTGATTGTTGTGGCTAAGACTTCCAGTACAATGTTAAATAAGAGTGGCGAAAGTGGACATCCCTGTCTTGTTCCTGTTCTTAATGGAAATGTTTTTAGTTTCTGTCCATTGAGTATGATGTTGCCTGTAGGTCTTTCATATATGGCCTTTATTATGTCGAGATATGATCCCTCTATTCCTACATTGCTGAGCGTTTTTATCAGAAATGGATGCTGGATTTTGTCAAATGCTTTTTCAGCATCTATTGATATGATCATGTGGTTTTTATTCTTCATTTTGCTTATGTGGTGTATCACGTTTATTGATTTGCGAATATTGTACCAGCCTTGCATCCCTGGAATGAATCCCACTTGGTCGTGGTGAATAATTTTTTTGATGTATTTCTGGATCCGATTTGCTAGTATTTTGTTCAGGATTTTGGCGTCTATGTTCATCAGGGATATTGGCCTGTAGTTTTCTTTCTTCGTAGTGTCTTTTTCTGGTTTTGGAATTAGAATTATGCTGGCCTCATAGAATGTGGTTGGAAGTCTTCCTTCTTCTTGAATTTTTTGAAATAGTTTGAGGAGAATGGGTGTTAGTTCTTTTTTGAATGTTCGGTAAAACTCCCCTGTGAAACCATCTGGGCCTGGGCTTTTGTTTGCTGGGAGAGTCTTGATTACCTCTTCAATTTCCTTAGTTGTTATTGGTCTGTTCAAGTTTTCTATCTCTTCCGAGTCCAGTTTTGGGAGACTGTGTGTTTCTAGAAATTTGTCCATTTCGCTTAGATTGTCGAATTTGTTGCAATATAGTTGTTCATAGTAGTTGTTAACGATCTTTTGCATTTCCGTGGTGTTGGTTGTTACTTCTCCTCTTTCATTTCTGATTTTGTGTATTTGGGTTCTCTCTCTTTGTTTCTTGGTAAGTCTAGCTAAGGGTCCTTCTATCTTGTTTATCTTTTCGAAAAACCAGCTCTTTGTTTCATTGATCCTTTGAATTGTTTTTTTGGTCTCTATGTCATTTATTTCTCCTCTGATCTTTACTATTTCCTTCCTTCTACTTGCTCTGGGGTTTTCTTTTTGTTTGCTTTCTAATTCTTTAAGCTGTGAGGTTAGACAGTCAATTAGAAATTTTTCTTGTTTTTTGAGGTAGGCCTGTAGTGCTATGAACTTCCCTCTCAGAACTGCTTTCGCTGCATCCCATAGATTTTGTGTTGTTGTGTGTTCATTTTCATTGGTTTCCAGGAAGTTTTTAATTTCTTCCTTGATGTCCTCAGTGACCCATTCACTGTTTAATAACATGCTATTTAGCCTCCATGTGTTGAAATGTCTTTGCATGTTCTTGTTGCAATTGATTTCTAGTTTCATGCCATTGTGATCTGAGAAGATGCTTGATATGATTTCAATCTTCTTGAAGTTGTAGAGATTTAGTTTGTGTCCTATCATGTGGTCTATCTTTGAGAATGTTCCATGTGCACTTGAGAAGAATGTGTATTCTGTAGTTTTGGGGTGTAATTCTCTGTAGATATCTATTAAATCCATTTGGTCTAGTGCTTCATTTAGAGTCTCTGTTTCCTTGCTAATTTTTTGCCTAGAGGATCTATCCAGTGCTGTCAACGGGGTGTTGAAGTCCCCTGCTATGATTGTATTGTTGTCGATTTCTCCTTGGAAGTCCTCCAGAAGATTTTTAATATATTTTGGTGCTCCTATATTGGGTGCATATATGTTTATCAAGGTTATATCTTCCTGTTGGATAGATCCTTTCAATATTATGTAGTGGCCGTCTTTGTCTCTAGTTATGGTCTTCATTTTGAAATCTATTTTATCAGATATGAGAATTGCTACCCCAGCTTTTTTTTGCTTTCCATTTGCTTGGAAAATTTTTTTCCATCCCTTCACTTTCAACCGATGTGAGTCTTTTGTTGAGAGGTGGGTCTCTTGTAAACAACATATAGATGAGTCATGCTTTCTTATCCAATCAGCTACTCTGTGTCTCTTTAGGGAGCATTCAATCCATTTACGTTTAAGGTGATTATTGATATGTACTTATTTATTGCCATTTTTCTTTAGTGTGGTTCTATTTTTCTTCCCATTTCTACTGCTAATTACAGCAGTCCTTTTAACATTTCTTGCAGTGCTGGTTTGGTGCTAATGTATTCCCTTAGCTTTTTTTTGTCTGGGAAGCTCTTTATTTGATCTTCTATTTTGAATGATAGCCTTGCTGGGTAGAGTAGTCTTGGATTCAGATTCTTGTTTTTCATGACTTTGATTACTTCATGCCATTCTCTTCTGGCCTGTAGTGTTTCTTGTGAGAAGTCACCTGAGAGCCTTATGGGGTTCCCTTTGTAGGTAACCTGTTGCTTATCTCTTGCTGCTTTTAGGATTCTCTCTTTGTCTTTAATTTGTGGCATTTTAATTACTATGTGTCTTGGTGTGGGCCTGTTTGGGTTCTTCTTACTTGGGACTCTCTGTGCTTCTTGAACTTGAATGCCTTCTTCCTTCACCAAATTAGGGAAGTCTTCTCTCACTATTTTTTTGAATATATTCTCTATCCCTTGCTCCTTTTCTTCTTCTTCGGGGACTCCTATGATGCGAATATTATTACGGTTCCAGTTGTCCCATAGTTCTCTTAAGCTGTCTTCCTGTTTTTTAATAGTTTTTTCCTTTTGTTTTTCTGATTGGTTGATTTTTTCTACCCTGTCTTCTAATTCACTGATCCGGTCCTCAGCTTCCCCTACTCTGCTTTTTAAACCTTCCAATGTGTTTTTCATTTCGGATATGTCATTTTTTATCTCTTCTTGTTGGTTTTTAATTTCCATTTGGCTTATTTTCAGTGTCTCTATGTCCTTACTCATGCTGTTCAGCTTCCTCAAGATCATGGCTCTGAATTCTAGCTCTGTTAACATGCCTAATTGCTCCACATTGATCTCATCTTCGGTGGAGGTGTCTTGCTCTTTCATTTGGCTTCTGTTTCTGTGTTTCACCATTTTAGTTATCACTGTGGGCTTTGGAGCCTGTCAAGTTCTCCCTGTGGGTGTTGGTGTTCTGCTGTTTGTGGCTCCCTCTCCTGTGTTTAGATGAGCGAGGGAGTTCCCGCGTTGAACACCACTGTCAAGTCTTACTTTCCTGGTTAAAGTTGCCAGCCCAGGAAACGTACTGTTATCCTCTAGCTTTTTGCCTGGAGGCTAGCAGTCTAGGTTAATTGATCAGTTTTGGGTTGTCAGTTGATTGAAAAACTCCCTCTGGTGCTCAGCCAAGGGGCTTTCAGGAGGGTGGGGCAGATGCTGGTTGTTAGTGAGCCTCAATTAGCACTTCAATGGCCCACAGGGTGGGGTTGGATCTCCGAGGGAGGGGCTGCTGCCTCTCCTCAGAGCCCTGGGAAGGAGCAATGTGGCCACCGTCCTGAGTGGCTGCACTGAGGCAAAGCTCTGAGCGCCCTCCAAACCCCGAGTGTCCCGACACAGTTCCAGTCCAGTCCGCCCTCCCTCCGCCGGAGCCCAAGGTGAGTGGCTGTGGCTGTTTCAGCCTCTGTCCCGGCTGCGCTGCGGGGCCGCCTGGGAGTGTATGCCAAGATTTTTAAGAGCTCTGTACTAGGAACAGAAAATAAAAGAAACAACAATGTGAAGTTCACATACAGAGAGATGAGAGGATAAATCAAAAGTGGGTGTTTTACAGTCAGGGTAAAGACTTTTAAGAATGAACACACTTATTCACCATAAGTGGTGACCAGGAGCTCAGGGTGACAGGAAGGCCTGGATGCACTCAGGATGAACTCTTGGCCTTCCCAATATCTTTAAGCCCTGAAGCACATACAAGTCCTAGATACTCATGTCAAAATAATCTCATTATTATTATTAGCCACAGGGTATGTTATAGTTTTCTATTGAGACAATTTTTCTCTCCACAATTACCCCATTTCTACCATAGATAATGTGGATGAAAAGGAGCAACATACCAAATCTGATAAGCTCAAGAGAGGCCTGCAAGGTGGCTTTACAAACTCAAGAGACTGAAAGTAACCATATAGGTGGTCTTAAATTAAAACTTCTTAACTAAAAGTGAGTTGTTGTGGGTAGTCATGTCCTGGGCTGGTGTCTTTCTTGGCAAAGTTCAATCTTTACTTTGAGCCTATCTGTTGTCTTTTTGCATCTAAAATAACATACCTTTGGAATGTTTGAGTAATCCTGTTTTCCAGATCCCTTAGGGCACAATCTCTCACCAGAGGGCAAGAGCACAAAACCTCATTGTTAATCTTGTTCCCCTGCAATGTAAAAGAAGTATTGTTTTCTTCATTTTTCTCTTTATTCAATCCCCGAGAGCCCCCCATTTTGCTTTCTCTTGCCTCCCTAATTTATGATGAATGAATTTCATGTAACCCTCCCTACAACTTCTCCTTTGGTTGTAACATCAAATAAGGTGCAAAAGTATCGTTCTCTGGAGCATTTTCTCAATCATTGAGATTTTGCTTCCTGGTAATTGTTGTCAGTTGGTTCAAATAAATTCATTAAGAATTCTTACAAGTTTGGATGTTTATTATGTTGACAATAACCAAAGTAAGACTAATTTGTTTGCAAATTTAGTCTAGTTTCAAACTTGGTCTGATTTTTTACATAAGTGCAACAAGAATAGTGATTAACCATCGAAACTCTTTTACAGTAACATTCTATAAGAAATCTCAGCTTGAACTCTCAAAACTAAGAAACTGAGCTGAAGACCTGCCATCAGACTTCTCCTGTAACACCTATAGATTTGGGTGAATTTCTCTCTTCTTGAAGTCCCCCAGATATCTAGGGGTTCCTGAGCCTACCAGAAAATTTTGCCCATTGAGTAGATAAAAGAAAATTAAGTTTTAGTTTTACACGAGTACAATATTGATATTAAAGTGTCAATATAAGGGATGTCCAAACCTGTAGAGAATTCTTATAAGAATTTATTTGAGCCAAACTGATGACAATTGCTGGGGAGCAAGATCACAAATGCTTCAGAAAATAACAGATTTGCCATTTCTTTTACGCATTCAAATTAAGAAGGGAACCTGAAGAAGGTTCCATGGAGGTGGGAGAAGCAAGGTAAGGATTGGATTACAGTAGAGCTAAAGTTATGTGCTGTCTTGAGGGTGGTCATGCACTGAGAGGTACTCTGGCATTTCAAGGTATGTTAACCTAGATGCACAAGAACAATGGACAGATGGTGTAACAACCTTTTACTAAAGTAGTTAGAGGCCCCCAGGAATGACTGCTCACCCCCATGACCTGCCTAGTTAGAAAGTTATGATCAGATCACCCTGTGAGGTTACTTTCCATAAAAATCTTTTTTTTTGGTCTAAAAAAACAGATATTTATGTGATACACCATATAAATAAAATGAAGAATAAAAACCACATGATAATATCAGTAGATGCTGAAAAAAGCCTTCGACAAAATCCAGCATCCATTTCTGATAAAAATGCTCAGCAGTGTGGGAATAGAGGGATCATATCTAGACATAATGAAGGCCATATATGAAAGACCTACAGCCTACATCATACTCAATGGGCAAAACTAAAAGCATTTCCCTTAAGAACAGGAACAAGGCAAGGATGCCCACTTTCGCCACTCCTATTTAACATAGTACTGGAAGTCTTAGCCACAGCAATCAGACAGGAAGAAAAAATAAAAGGGATCCAAATTGGAAAGGAGGAAGTGAAATTGTCATTACTTGCAGATGACATGATACTATATATAGAAAACCCCAAAGACTCCATCAAAAGTTTACTAGAATTAATAAATGAATTTGGCAAAGTAGCAGGATACAAAATTAACGTCAAGAAATCGATGGCATTCTTATACACCAATGATGTACTCACAGAAAGGGAAACTAAGAAAAAATCCCATTTACCATTGCGGCAAAAAAATTAAGATACCTAGGAATAAACTTAAACAAAGAAATAAAGGACCTATTCGCAGAAAACTACAGGTCATTGAAAAAAGAAATAGAGCAAGATATAAAAAAGTGGAAGCACATACCCTGTTCATGGATTGGGAGAATTAACATCATTAAAATGTCCATATTACCCAAAGGAATCTATAGATTCAATGCAATCCCCATCAAAATACCAATGGCATACTTCACAGAATTAGAACAATTATTTCAAAAGTTCATATGGAACCAAAAAAGGCCTCGAATACTCACAGCAATCTTGAATAGGAAGAACAAAGTTGGAGGGATCACAATACCAGATTTCAAGTTATACTACAAAGCCATTGTAATCAAAACAGCCTGGTACTGGCACAAGAACAGGCATATAGACCAGTGGAACAGAACAGAGAACCCAGAAATGGACCCAAGGCACTATGCTCAATTAATATTTGACAAAGGTGGCAAGAGCATACAGTGGAGTAAGGACAGCCTCTTTAATGGTGCTGGGAAAATTGGACAGCTACATGCAGAAAAATTAAACTAGACCATCAACTTACACCCTATACGAGAATAAACTCAAAATGGATAAAAGACTTAAATGTAACTCATGAATCTGTAAAAATCCTAGAAGAAACTGTAGGCAACAAAATTTCAGACATCATACACAGCAGAATTTTTACTGACATATCACCTAAGGCAATAGAAAAAAAGGAGAAAATGAACACATGGAACTACATCAAACACAAAAGCTTCTGCACAGCGAAAGATACAATCATCAAAACGGAAAGGCTACCCACTGTATGGGAGAGCATAATTGCCAATGATATATCAGATAAGGGGTTAATTTCCAATACATATAGAGTGCTCATACAACTCCACAAAAGGAAGACAAAGTACCCAATTAAAATATGGGCAGAGGAACTAAATAGACACCTCTCCAAACAGGACATACAAATGGCTAAGAGACATATGAAGAAATGCTCAACATTACTAATCATCAGAGAGATGCAAATTAAAACAACTATGAGGTATCACCTCATACCTGTCAGAATGGCCACCATCAACAAATCATCAAACAACAAGTGTTGGCGAGGGTGTGGAGAAAAGAGGACTCTAGTGCACTGCTGGTGGGAATGCAGACTGGTGCATCCACTATGGAAAAAAATATGGTGTTACCTCAAAAAATTAAAAATTGAACTTCCATTGGACCCAGTGATCCCACTTCTAGGAATATACCCCAAGAAGCAAAAAACACCAATCAGAAAGAATATATGTACCCCCATGTTTGTAGCAGCACTATTTACAATAGCTAAGATCTGGAAACAGCCCAAGTGTCCATCAGTAGACAAATGGATCAAAAAGCAGTGGTACATATACACAATGGAGTACTACGCAGCTGTAAGAAAGAAAGATCTTTTATCCTTTGAGACTACATGGAGGGACCTGGAAAGCATCATGCTAAGTGAAACAAGCCAAACAGAGAAAGACAAGTTTCACATGATCTCACTTATTTGTGGAATATAATGAACCTAACAGTCTGAGGAATGGGGTAGTCCCAGAGACGCAGAAGTGGGGTACAGACTGACAATCCCTAACCACAGAACTTATGTGCATGTATGCATAAACAGTGGAAATGGACAACAAACTGGGGAAAGAGCAAGCAGGGAGGGGAAGGGGGGGATCAGTGGGGGGGAAAAGGAGAAACATCTGTAACAAAAATTAATTAATAAAAAAATGATATTTAAAACCCATATAATAAATTTATTCAATTTTAGCCAGCTTGACCACAAAAAGTAAGATTCTCACTTTTTCTCTCTCTCTTCCCAATTTTGTATTCCTGTTTTGTTCATCCTTTATTCTCCTCTGTTATTTTAAAACCATCAGTTATTTTACTCCTAAAATAAATGCATTTCCATTATTTATATATTCCCTTCCCGAATCATATCCTACAGCTCTTGCGCAGTTGTTTCCTTATTATTTCCTTATTATTTTAATTACACACATTAGAATTCTTAACCCTTAGAAGCCCTTATTTTATTTTATTTTATTTTATTTTATTTTATTTTATTTTATTTTATTTTATTTTATTTTTTATCCTCACCCAAGGACAATTTTCCATTTTTTGTTCAGATCGAGTGGGAGGGAGAGAGAGGAAGAGAGAGAGAGAGAAACATCGATGTGAAAAGGACACATCAAGTGGTTGCTACCCGCACGACCCAACCAGGACCGGGGACAAACTGCAACCGAAGTACATGCCCTTAGTGGGAACTGAACCCGGGTCTCTCCAGATCACAGGCCAACGCTCTAACCACTGAGCCAAATCGGCCAGGGCAGAAGCCTTTATTTTTAATAGAAACTAAGAAACAAGCATGTGTGAACTTTCTGTTACACCTAAATTCTGTAGATTGGCAAATGTATAAATACATTTCATAGTTTATAAAAGCATACACTGCTTCAGAATGCAACAAAGTAAAATGCTCACTCTCTGACTCCCTCTTATTCCAGCCTGCATTGTTCCCATGATCTTGAGAGTAATAGCTCCTGCTATAACATGCTAAGTATTAAGAGGAATTCTGCTTAGGACTTGAGCTTTTGGAAGAACAGCCCCATGTTAGAAAGTGGAAAATATGTACCAAATTAATGATTGTTTATCAAAGATTTGTAGTCGCCTCAAGACTGGACTCAGATCAGCAGGGGTCAATAGACTGAGAACAAAAAATTTAGAGAGTTCATGCTCTTCCTTGGATCCCTATTGATGCCTAGATGTTACACACCTCTTTCCCTGCCTACTGTCTCTTCACTTTACATAAGAGAAGCCTGAATTCTGGGCTCTATTAACATGGATTTAAGGATCTTCTAAGGCCCCCATCTTTGTGATTGGGCTCCTTCTCAAGCAAGAAACCTTTTCTTACCCCAAACTCTGTAAAAGACAAACACATGCTATGTGAACATACAGAAAGATTTTTTCCCATTAGGCAGACCTCACACCCTGGACTTTAAGAATAGTAAGAACTGCCCTGGCTGGTTTCGCTCAGTGGTTAGAGCATCGGCCTGCAGTCCAGAGAGAACCGGGTTTGGTTCCCACTAAGGGCATGTACCTCGGTTGCAGTTTGTCCCCGGCCCTGGTTGGTCATGCAGGTGGCAGCCACTTGATGTGTCCCTTTCACATCGATGTTTCTCTCTCTCTTCCTCCCACTCTATCTGAACAAAAAATGGAAAAATGTCCTCGGATGAGGATAAAAAAAAGAATAGCAAGAACTAGCAGCCAGTGTTAATAGTTAACCATTATATTGTATAGTTAGCAATTGCATTGTACAGACCCGAAACTGCTTGCTCCCTCAGGCATAATGGCTAACCGCAGAT